GAGGTGGGGGGGGGATGTTAAAACAGTGGCCAATGAAGTTCTGTGGCTCAGGAGCCAAAATCATTAGAAAACAAGAGGCCAACTAAAGAAGTAGAAATTACTAACAGAGCCTTCCAGAAAGTGAGAATCACTCACTCATTGTTTCTTCTTTTATTTTTAGTATTTTCCTACCTATTGTTTAAAAAATTTAAATAATGCAGAAAGCTATAAAGAAGAAAGCAAAAAACAAAACAAAAAAAAAAAAAAAAAAAAACACCCAGAAACAAAAACCTAACAACAAAATCCCCTCTTAATATCCTTCTGCCCAGAGATAACCACCATCAGCCTTTTGATGATGACATTTCCCAGACCTCTTTCTTTGGCTAAACATATGTGGATTTATCTTCCTCTCTCTACATAAAATTTATATTAATGGAGTCATACTATATATGGTATTTTGTGATCTACATATATGCATGTAAGTATGTGTACATATCCCCTACACAGGTATACTTAAAATAACAAAATATTTCATTTTATGAACCTGAAATAATTTATTAAACCAAGACTGTTTTGAGGGACAGTTGTATTGCTTTTAGCATTTCACTATTATAAACAATATTGCAAAGAATATCCTTTGTGCTGTTCTCAGATTGTCTTCTTAGGGTAATTTCTTAGGAGTGATATAGCTGTATTAGGAAACATGCATGTATAAAATTTTTATATGATTTTCAAACTGTCCTCTGCAAAGCTTGGCCAATTTGTATTCTCACCAACAATGAATGGAAGTGCTTCAACTTGTACAAGGCAAGGTCATGGAAACTCCATAGACACATCCAGACTCCCGGAGAGACCAAATTACTGAGCTAAGGGCTGTGGGGACCGTGGTCTTAGGGAATATGTATCTCAATTGGCATAACATAGTTTAGAAAGAAAATGTTCTACATTCTACTTTGGTGAGTAGCATCTGGGGTCTTAAAAGCCTGTGAGCGGCCATCTAAGATATTCCACTGGTCTCACCACTTCAGGAGCAAGGGAAAATGAAGAAAACAAAAGACACAAGGGAAACATTAGTCCAAACGACTAATGGACATCTACCATGGCCTCCAACAGACTGAGTCCAGCACAACTAGATGACGCCCAGCTACCACCACTGACTGCTCTGACAGGGATCAAAATAGAGGGTCCTGGAGAGAGCTGGAGAAAAATGTAGAACAAAATTTTAACTCACAAAAAAAGATCACTTACTGGCCTGACAAAGACTGGAGAAACCCTGACAGTATGGCCCCCAGACACCCTTTTAGCTCAGTACGAAGTCACCCCCGAGGTGCACCCTTCAGCCAAAGATTGGACAGGCCCATAAAAAATGAGACTAAAGGGCCACACCAGCCCAGGGGCAAGGACTAGCAGGCAGGAGGGGACAGGAAAGCTGGTAATAGGGAACGCAAGTTCGAGACGGGAGAGTGTTGACATATCGTGGGGTTGTTAACCAATGTCATAAAACAACATATGTACTAACTGTTCAATGAGAAACTGGTTTTTTCTGTAAACCTTCATCTAAAGTACAAAAATAAATAGATAAAATAAAGGAATAAATAAATCGGGGTGCTTATCTTCCCCATGCTCTCCCCAACATCAAGTATTGTCAGAGGTTTTCACCTTTATCAATCTGATAAGCAGCAGATGATATTACAATTTCCTTTTTTTTTGGTTACCAGTAAATTTAGAATCTTGTGAAAGTTCGTCATTCATTTCTCTCTTTCTCTCTGTGTGTGAATTGTCTATTTATGTCCTTTGTTCATTTTTCTGTTGGAGTATTCACTTTTATTTTAATAATTTGAAGGGGTTCTTTGTATTAACTTTTTGTTGGTCCCATATGTCACAGTTTCCTCAGATTATCATTTATATTCAAACTTTTCCAGATTTTACTTTTGCTATATGAAAGCACTTGACTTTTACGTGGTAATGTTTTTCTGTTTGGCTTCCTGAATTTTGTGTCCTGCTTAGAAAGCCCATCTCCATCCCAAGAGTGAAAAATGTTGACCAATATTCAGTACTTTTTAACATTTCTTCTCTTTTTTTTTAAATTGTGCTTTAAGTTAAAGTTTACAGTTCAAGATAGTTTCTCATACAAAAATTTGTACACACATAGTTATGTGACCCTAGTTGCTCTCCCTATAATGTGACAGCACACTCCTCCTTTCCACCCCAGATTTCCTGTGTCCATTCAACCAGCTCCTGTCCCTTTCTGCCTTCTCATCTCGCCTCCAGACAGGAGCTGCCCATTTAGTCTCATCTATCTACCTGAGCTAAGAAGCACACTCTTCACAAGTATCATTTTATGTCTTATAGTCCAGTCTAATCTTTGTATGAAGAGTTGGCTTCGGGAATGGTTTCAGTTTTGGGCTAACAGAGAGTCCGGGGGCCTTGTCTTCCGGGATCCCTCCAGTCTCAGTCAAACCATTAAGTCTGGTCTTTTTACTAGAATTTGAGTTCTGCACCCTACTTTTCTCCGCTCCTTCAGGGACTCTCTGTTGTACTCCCTGTCAGGGTGGTCATTGGTTGTAGTCAGGCACTGTCTAGTTCTTCTGGTCTCAGGTTGATGCAGTTTCTGGTTTATGTGGCCCTTTCTGTCTCTTGGGCTAATACTTTCCTTGTGTCTTTGGTGTTCTTCATTCTCCTTTGTTCCAAGTGGGTGGGGGCCAATTGATGCCTCTTAGATGGCTGTTTACTAGCTTTTAAGATCCCAGATGCCACTCACCAAAGTGGGATACAGAACATTTTCTTAAAAAACCTTGTTATGCTGATTGATCTAGATGTCCCTTGAAACTATGGTCCCCAGAACCCTGCCCCTGCTACTCTGTCCCTCCAAATGTTTGATTGTATTAGGAAACTTCTTAGCTTTTGGTTTAGTCCAGTTGTGCTGACTTCTCCTGTTTTGTGTGTTGCCCTTCCCTTCACCTAAGATAACTTATCTATTATCTAGTTAGTGAATACCCCTCTCCCTCCCTCCCCACCCTCATAACCTGCAAAGAATGTTTTCTTCTGTGTTTAAACCTTTTCTTGAGTTCTTATAATAGTGATCTCATATTATATTTGCCCTTTTACATCTAATTTCAGTTAGCACAATGCCTTCCAGATTCATCCATGTTATGAGATGTTTCGCAGATTCATCGTTGTTCTTTATCGTTGCATAGAATTCCATTGTGTGAATATACCATAATTTGTTTATCCTTTCATCCATTGATGGGCATCTAGGTTGTTTCCATCCTTTGCTATTGTGAACAGTGTTGCAGTGAACGTGGGTGTACATATATTTATTCGCATGACAGCTCTCATTTCTCTAGGATATATTCCAAGGAGTGGGCTTGCTGAATAGTATGGTACTTCTATTTCTAGCTTTTTAAGGAAGCGCCAAATCGATTTCCAAAGTGGTTGTACCATTTTACATTCCCACCAGCAGGGCATAAGTGTTCCAGTTTCTCCACAACCTCTCTGACATCTGTTATTTTATGTTTTTTGAAATAGTACTAGCCTTGTTGGGGTGAGATGGTATCTCATTGTAGTTTTGATTTGCATTTCTCTAATGGCTGATGATCGTGAGCATTTCCTCATGTGTCTGTTAGCTGCCTGAATGTCTTCTTTGGTGACGTGCCTGTTCATATCCTTTACCTGTTTTTTAATTGGGTTATTTGTCTTTTTGTTGTTGAGGTTTTGCAGTATCTTGTAGATTTTAGAGATTAGAAGCGGATCGGAATTGTTGTAGCCAAAATTTTTTTCCCAGTCTGTAGGTTATCTTTTTACTCTTTTGGTGAAGTCTTTTGATGAGCATAAGTGTTTGATTTTTAGGAGCTCCCAGCTCCCACTCTGGTGTTTGTGCAGTGTTATTTATGGTTTGTATTGTGTTTAAGCCATGTATTAGGGCTCCTAGTGTTGTCCCTATTTTTTCTTCCATGATCTTCTCTTTTTAGAATTTATATGTAGGTTTTTTATCCATTTTGAGTTAGTTTTTGTGCATGGTGTGAGGTATGGGTCTTGTTTCGTTTCTTTGCAGATGGATATCCAGTTATGCCAGCAGCATTTGTTAAAGAAACTGTCTTTTCCCCAATTAACGGACTTTGGGCCTTTGTCAAATATCAGCTGCTCATAGGTGGATGAATTTACGTCTGGCTTCTCAATTCTGTTCCATTAGTCTACGTATCTGTTGTTGTACCAGTACGAGGCTGTTTTGACTACCATGGTGGTATAATAGGTTCTAAAATGAGGTAGTATGAGGCCTCCCACTTTGTTCTTCTTCTTGAGTAATGCTTTACTTATTCGGGGCCTCTTCCCTTTCCATATGAAGTTGGTGATTTGTTTCTCCATCTCATTAAAAAATGCCATTGGAATTTGGATTGGGATTTTATTGTATCTGTAGATGGCTTTGGGTAGAATAGACATTTTCACAATGTTGAGTCTTCCTATCCATGAGCAAGGTATGTTTTTCCACTTATGTTGGTCTCTTTCGGTTTCTTGCAGTAGTGTCTTGTAGTTTTCTTTGTATAGGTCTTTCCTGTCTCTGGTTAGATTTATTTCTAAGTATTTTATCTTCTTGGTGGCTATTGTAAATGGTATTGATTTGGTGATTTCTTCTTGGAAGTTCTCTTTGTTGGTATAGAGGAATCCAATGATTTTTGTATGTTTATCTTGTATCCTGATACTCTGTTGAAATCTTCTATTAGTTCTACTAGTTTTCTTGTGGATTCTTTGGGGTTTTCTGTGTATAAGATCATATCATCTGCAAACAGAGATACTTTTACTTCTTCCTACCAATTTCGATGCCTTTTATTTCTTTTTCTAGCCTAATTGCTCTGGCTAGGGCCTCCAGCACAATGTTGAATGAGAGTGGTGATAAAGGACATCCTTGTCTGGTTCCCATTCTCAAGGAGAATGCTTTCAAACTCTCTCCATTTAGGATGATGTTGGCTGTTGGCTTTGTATAAATGCCCTTTATTATGTTGAAGAATTTCCCTTCTATTCTTATTTTGCTAAGACTTTTTATCATGAATGGTGTTGGACTTTGTCAAATGCCTTTTCTGCATCAATTGATAAGATCATGTGGTTCTTTTTTTTTATACTGAGTCTTGGATATATCAAGAATTTATTTTGCTGAAATATAGTTAGCATTTTATTTCTAAATGTCAGTTATCTAATAGTAATTTCTTCAGTAATCCAGTTTTCCTGCATTGATACGAAGTGCTCCTAACTAAAAAAAAATAGAAATTTAATATGTGCTTAATTTCTGAACTTATTTTTTCACTGTTTCAATTGCTTAGTTCTGTACCATGCTGCTGCCATTGTTGTAGTTTCATAATACATTTTAGTAACCAGTAGGACAAATCTCCCATTCTGCCCTTTGTTTTGCCCTTCTTTTCCCAAATTAAAGTCAGTTTGGATTTTTAGTGTAATGGCATTTAATTTATAAAATAATTTAGGTGAAAATTCTATTTTTAAATTATCTATCCAATAATCTTTTTTATTTAATCACATCTTATAATTAATAAATATTATTCTCTTCATATAAATCCTTATACTTCTTATTAAATTTATGTCAAGAACTGTGAAAGGTCTGAGATTTTACCTTGCCTGCAAGCAAACAAGTCAGCCTGTCACAGTTTCATAAAACCTGGCAGATGACAGGAGACTCCCAGGTCAGAGGCACAGCAGGCAATATGAGCTTCATGTTTGCATCTGCTCTCCTTGTCCAAGTTCCACAGTGGTGCTGCACATGCAGTGGGTTTGCGTCACAGCTGAGGAACCCTGAGCTTAGGAAATCCTAGTGAGAGGTAGGACCATGCTTCCTTGAGCTAACTGATGAGGAATGAGAGGAGTACTGAAACCTGTTGTCATCAAGTCAATTTTTATTCATAGCAACCCTATAGCACAGAGTAGAACTGCCCCATAGGGTTTCTAAGAAGTGCCTGGTGGATTCAACCTACCAACCTTTTGGTTAGCAGCCATAGCTCTTAACAGGTGCAAAGAGAAGAAAGAACATTCCAGGCAAAAGGCCTTGTGGTGGGAGGAAGTGTGGTAACTATAAATACCCGACAAAAAGGCCGGTATGGTAATTCCGTTATCATCTGGCTTAATGCTCCTGAAGGGAACCAGCCTGTTTATTTTTCCCATTGTAAATGACCTATTTGTTTTGCATGAATGCTTGTAGATCTTTTTTCTTTACCTTCGAAGTATATTAATTTCATTAGGATTTATTTTTGTTCATTCTCTAAATTAAGACACAGAGAACCTCTTCATTCTGGAAAGCAATCTTGTAATATATCTGTAAGTATTTTCTGTTTCTATTAGTTATGACCTTAACTATATGACCTTTAAACGTATGATACATTTTCTTTGTCTAACTTCCGTAGTTATGTTCTCCCTAAAAAAATCCCATCTGCCTTATTTTCACTGCATTTCAAGATTGAAGCCCATCCTTAGATTCAGCATTAATCTCTGCTACTTTTAATTTTTTTATTCATGTATTAGTTTTGGAAAGGGATATTTTTTGGAGCCTGCACTTTTGCCATCATCTTTTCCAGAAGTTTCTGGGCCTGTTATTGAAAGAACCACTTTGTAAGTGCTTTCCCCCAATTCTTTAAAAATTATTCCAAGGCACCATTTAGAAAATTCCCCATGGCTAAAATAACCTCTTTAAATTTTTAATTTCTTATCACTCCTAATTTAAAAAGTAATTATTTATAACAAGAAATTGGGGAACAGCATCTTCCTGGTTAATGAATAAAATATATAAGGAGGCATGGTGAACTGAAGAGGCTGTGGGAAGAGTTCTATCTCTGAATTTCAATTTCCCTAATCATTGTGGTACCTAATATTACACCAATAAATGTTCATTTCTTTGTGTACAGTTTTTGTTGCTGTTGTTGTTAGCTGCCCTTGAATTGACCCCTGACTCATGGTGACCCCATGAACAATGGGATTGGACACTCGTGATTCACAGGGCTTCCATTGGCTAATTTCTGGAAGTAGATCTCCAAACCTTTCTTCCTTAAGGTTTTTGAGGTCTAGCCAAATGCAAATATTCCCAAGAGTTAGATGTTGAGCTGTTGCTTCATTAGCATGAAATTAGTTTATCAAATTTAATTACTTGGAGAGGTTCCTTAACACTTTCAGAAATAGATGTGCTTCTATGGAAGGAAGGAAGAGGGAAGTGTACACAGCACAAGTCCTCGCTTTTCCTCGCGGTAGAGAGAGGGAACAAAAACAACAGAGAAACTTAAAAAAATGATTTTCCTGAAATATTGAGAAATTTTTGGATTGTTGAGTTTAATTTCGAAGGATAAAAATTCTTAGAATGATGTGCTCATTGGTTTGTTACCCATCCTTTACTCTTCAAAAACTATTCAATAAGAAGGGTTTGGTGAGAAAGCATCTCAGTTAGCAGAGGGTTGCAATACCTATACACTGAGCACAAGCAGACAAACTACCACTGAAGAAATGCAGCCGATTTACTCTTTGAGAGGACTGCCATTATTGTAAGAGAGTAAAGACATTCATTGCATTCTCTAATCATGGGTTTTATCTTGTTGACTTTTGACCTTGATGTTAATGGATGTGTTGTTGACTTCCTCAGTAGAGGTAAAGTAGAAAGGTAGGGAGACTTGTCCTAGACTAGGAAAAGTTCCTGTTTTCAAAATCTGGGAAGATAAACTAATAATGAAAAAGCAGAAACTTTTGATGATGAGAGTTCAAAATGAGACCTAGACCAATTTTACGTGGCAAAAATCTTATTTAGTAAGTTTTAGTGGTTCTTCAATTTTTTTGGTGACCTTTTTTTTGAAAATGAGTATTTTGGGTATTTATTGGCACTGTGGAGTACAGACACTAAGTCTAGAAATAGAAGGATGTTCTCTGTTTACATGTTGATGAATTAATGTTTCACAGATCAAATTCATTGACTGTAATTTGTAATTCTTTGATTATATCACACGTAATTATTTTATGTACCACTAAGAAAGAAAAAAATGCTGTCTATGGAACTCTGACAAGCTTACAGTGCTATAAGGTACATCCTAATTTAAGAGATGTTAACAAGTGAAAAAATACTCATCTCAGAATCAGTGAGATATGGTACTTTTCTTAAAGAGCAAAACAAGGAAAATTGATATACTGAACAGTTTGGCATCCATCTATCTGAAATATTTAACAGTGCGTTCAACCAATAAATTTGTACTTTAAGATTCCATTTACCAGATATGAAAATTTGGAAAAAGAGTAACCAAAATTATTGATAAAATACTGTTAATATTCAGAGAATTAACAACGTGACCTTAAATCTATAGAGGATGCCCCAAATTTCCACTATTTGGTATTTTCTTTTCTGGGCAAGGAATTTGGTCCATGCAGAGCTGCCTAGGCAAGGGTGAAGGAACTGCTCCTCTCATCTTTCCCAACTCCTTCTGCAATCTTTTGAGCAAGAGCTCCTCATGCTCGATAGACATATGAAAAACCACAACCAAACCTGTTGCTGTCTAGTTGACTCCAACTCACAGCGACCCTATAGGACAGAGTAGAACTGCCCCATAGGGTTTCCAAGGAGCACCTGGTGGATTTGAACTGCAATCTTTTGGTTAGCAGCCATAGCTCTTAACCTCTACACCACCAGGGTTTCCAGTAGATAGATAGGTAGGTAGATAGATAGACAGACAGACAGACAGATAGATAGCAAGCTACCATCAAATCCACTCCAGCTTCGACTAATGAAGACCTTATGCATAACAGAACAAAACGTAGCTTGGTCCTGCATCATCCTCATGATCTCCGCCAGCATGTTTGAGTCCATTGCTGCGGCTGTTATGCCAGTCCATCTCTCTGAGGGTCTCCCTTACCTTAGCTAGTCCTCTACTTCACCAAACACGATGTCCATATCCAGCAATTGATCCTCCTGATGGTATGTCCAAAGCAAGTGAGTCTGACAATGTTCTGTTGTGATCTCTAAGGTTTTCATTGGCTAATTTTTGTAGTAGATTGCCAGGTCTTTCTTTCTAGTCTGTCTTAGTCTGGAAGCTCCACTAAAACCCTGCTGGTGACCCTACTGGTGCTTAAAAATTGTCAGAAATTAATTTTATCACCTAACATTCCCCTAAGTAGAATAAAAGCCCCACTTGCTTCATTCCTGAGAATGAGAAATCTGACTCCTGAGCTCACAGTATAACTATCTTTCTGTGTTGGGGTTAATCAACTACCCCTTGCTTAAAGGTTTAGGCAATTTTACCTGCGAAACTTATTATTATTGTTTTTAATACTAAAAATATTGTAGTATGTGGAGTATCTGTTTGGGAGAAAGGATTTATACATGGTGAGCAATTGCCCATAGTCCCACCATCTTTGCCATTATTGTAATTTTAGCACATTTCCTTCCATTTTTTTTTTACCCATGTAAGTTTTTGCGTAGCTGAGATCATTTTTGCATGCAATTTGTGTGATTTTTTTTCACTTAGTCCATGTTATTAAAAGAGCATGTGAAAGGCTTTTATATAGTTAACTATTTTTATTCTGTAGATATATTAACTATTCCTTTACTGCTTGTTAGTTAAGCTTTTTGGGGGGCAGTTTTAAATAATGTTAAAATTAATATCTGTATATAAATCTCTGTCCATATTTTGGTTGAGGGAACGTCATCAACATTAATACAGTTTATTTGTACTGTTAAATTGCTTTCAAGAAAAAAAAGTCATAACAATTTATAACCCCACCAAAGGGATTAGAAGTGAATACAAGACGATGGTTGTGTTTATTTAATATTATTTAAAGTCAAAATAACAGGGGAATTGAGACACAGACAGATAAAGTGACCTTGTCGCTGGTGACACTATCAGTTCAGATTGGAGCTGGGAATTTATTGTCTTCTCTGCCTAGCCAGTATCTTCACTACTTTACTGTAGACTTGTGGAAATTCCTATCCTTGAAATTATACCAGGGGATCAGTAGACTCCTCCCCACAAACCCAGGAGACCAACAGCACTGTAAAAGCTCCTAATGGTACCTGGCTACCCTTATTTTGTTTTCCCCTCCAATAAGTGGTAGGCATCTCCAAAACGGTCAAACCAAATCCATCTTTGCCTTGCAAACCAAACAAACACTTCTGTTTCTGTTTTGCTTTATGTCTGGACTAATTCTTAGCACCTCTTCTGCCTGTGAGCGATCTGTCACCTCATTCCGTAAGACTGGCACCAGCAGAAATGCAGTCTCAAAGGATCCCTGGGAGGAAACGAGGCCGACCCCCACTTCACTCAACACCTCTGAAGATGGCAGTTCCTAACCTTTATTCTTCTTCACCTGGTTGCTTACCAGCAGTGAAGACCCCAAAGAAAAGAGGGAGGAAACCCGGGTACAAGGTACGGCTCTGTCATCTCCTTTCTCCAAAGTTGTATTGGGCTGGGACCCAGGAGCTTGAGCATGACTCCGTTGGGAAATGCAATGAGAGCCCAGGAGGTTGGTAAAGACAGAATGAGAAATAAGTTTCTCTCAATGAAGCATGTGACGAGGCCTCATTGTTACAACACAGCACACAATAAATGCTATTGTGTTCACTTTCACAAGTGAAGAAAGCAAATTACACCAGATAGGGAAAGTTGTGAGGCAAGCAGATTTTAGGGTCATAGCTAAATACGCATTATTAAACTTTGCATCCACATTAGTGTTTCAGACACTAAGCTTTCCCTGACTACTCTTACTAGGATGGGTCTTGAAGCTGCCTTCCCAAACTCGTCATTTATTTTAGCAGAAGCAGATGATGTTCCTCAGACATTTAAATTATTAATGCAAGTAGGCCAGTTTCAAAGGACATAGATGAGGTTCCCCAAGCAGAGCCTCAATAAGGGGACTCATAATGAAAATTCAGGGTGTTAATTCATAGTTTCCCACTTACAAAAGGTGCTGATGTCAAGTTTGGCTACAAGGGGGTCACATCAGGGAAAATTAAAATCCTTTAAGAATTAATGATTTGGAGGAGCTGGGGTGGAGAATGTATCCTCTGATGTAACCTCAGTCCCATAAACCAACCCACACCAGATGGAGAGGTCCTCCTCCAAGATGTTTTTGAAGAGGCTACTAGAGAGGAAAGAACATTAAGCTTGCTCTCCAGAGGCCTTTCGGGCATTAGAAAATAAGCTTCAGTTTTCCTTCATTTATTTTCCTTGAGATAAAGGGCTTATGTTTCCATTTGAGATCTGAATACTCAAACCAAAATGCAAGTTGGCAATTAACTCCCATATATTTAGGAGAATGTGTGGAAATTGTTTCAGGTCAGCAGAAAGACAAAGCTTCGTGAAGAGTTGTTAATGAATTAAATCGTTATCCCTTTGGCTCTCCATAGTTCTTCCAAATGCTGGAAAATGAAAAGGGTGAGTGGGGGAAGGTTACTCAAAGTTATTTTGGGGTCATTGGTTTAAGTAAAAGAAGCTTTTACTCAGCCCTCTCATGAGGTAAAGTCTTCAGTCACCGGTTATGTTTCTTACAAAGAGAACCTCCTTTTTCTCATGGGCATGCTGGCTTCAGGAATGTGTCTCTCTGAAGTTGGCATAGGGTAGGCCTCAGCCACTTAACTACCTACATGGTTGCTAGGGTCTGGGAATTGCATCTGGAAGGATGGAAGAGGGTAGCCCTTCCCTTTAGAGATTCAGGGAGCACATCCAGAATCTGAAGAAACACACTGAAACCTTCTCCCCCTGTTTGGCCTTTCTCCTACTCCCCTGGGAGCTGTGACCCAAGAATGAAAATTACCAACAGACACAGCATTTCTGGGGCCAGGAAAAATGGAAATTTACTCCATGAAATGAACCCGACTTTGCAATTTTCCTGTCTCCTAGCAAGGGCAGTTTTCAGTACTCTTCACACTCAGGGACACCTCAGGTCAGGAGAAAACTTTTGGGACTGGCTGGCTGATGCTACAGGCCCTGCTCAAAGTAGGCAGGTCTTATTTCCGCTGTTCCACAGGGTTTCTTTTCTGGGGACCACAGGCCACAGCTCTTCCTTGAGCCTCCTCCCTAAGTGCTGGCCAATCCCAGGCTTCCAAGAACACGTCCAGCTCCTCCTGGAACTAGCCTGCTCTCAGGCCATGGGTTTAGTGTTCTAGAAAAGCGGTTCCCAAAGCCGGTGCCAGTCTGCATGATATGTCTACCCATCCACCTTGAAGTGAGAAAAACAAGAACCATTGGAAAGTGCTCGTAAACCTAGAATGACTCCACTTAAAGGATTATCCTTTACTCTGAAATATCTCCTTCCTCCTCTTTTGGTGTTAAAGAGTTCTTTGTTTTCTTAAATATTTGATGTTGATGGGATTTGGTAATTTTAAAATGTCCTTACTTCGCAAATAAAACTGGCAATCTATTAAGTCTCCCGAGTTTTATTTTGAAAATCTCCTAGACCCTGAAATCCCGTTTTACCATTAATGGCAAGAGTTTTAGTTGTCAAAAAGCTAGCAAGGAAACTCTCCATGTACCAAAATGGCTACTAATTTGGCAAGTTTAACTATCTAGGACATAGCTGGGGAGCCAGAAGTTGGAAAAAAAAATCCTGACCAAGCAAAGTAAGGTATTACTGGTATAACCTTAAATTTTTTTGTATTTTATTACTAAGAAAATGCTTTCAAATTCTCCATCAAAGTCTATTTACTTTTCTTACAAGCTGGGGTATAGCAGTTTCATACCTTTAGTTTTGAAGAAGGTTATATGGGGGGAGAAGATCACACATACAGCTGAACACTGAGAGGATAACAAGAATTTCTGTTATAATTACAGGATACTAATATATTAACATAGGACAATGAGATAATACAATAATATAATAATTTTATAATCAATATTATAAAATAATATAATTTTATAATCAACATTATAAAATAACAATATGACTTCGTTGTTGCAGTTAGTTGCTGTTGAGTGGATTCAAACTCATGGCAACCCCATGTGTGCAAAGTACAACTATGCTCTGTAGGGTTTTCAAGGTTGTTGTGACCTTTCAGAAGCAGATCACCAGAAGCGGAAGACACTTCTGATGCGCCTCTGGGTGGGTTTGAACTGCCAACTTTTTGGGTAGTAGCTGAGCACTTAACCTTTTGCACCACCCAGGCACTCCTAATATAACTTAAAAACCCATTGCCGTCAAGTCAATTCCGACTCATAGCAACCCTATAGGGCAGAGGAGAACTGCCCCATAGGGTTTCCAAGGAGTGGCTGGCGGATTCGAACTGCTGACCTTTTGGTTAGCAGCCGAGCTCTTAACCACTGTGCCACCAGGGTTCCAAATATAACTTCAGTATATCAATA